AGACAGTGCTGTAGCAAGTGTAGCTCTTTGGAACAGACACTTAACTGGGGTCCTTACTTCTTGGACTTTAAAGACCATTAAATATCATCACACTTAAGCTTTTTATTGTATTTTAAGCACACTTATTGTATTTTAACAGGGTAATTATATGTTAAAGATCATATCAAGATCAAGATAAGAATTTAGTTAAATTCCTAAAAACAATTCGTACAATCTTGTAGTACAAGTTAAAAATGTTTGTACAATCTGCCCTACATTTTCCCTTATTTCAATTGATTATTTTTATCTTCTTTGCTTGAGCTGTTCTGTAGTGGCACATAATGTCTGCTGTGCGTCAATCAATTAGGTGCTGCACTTCTCTGGGGGATAAATTGTGTCTGCTTTATGTGCGGAGTGTTTTGAAAACCTTTGGGATGAAAAGCGTTTGAATGCGTTGACTGACTTGCAGGATATAATGTGAGATAGGAGGTGACACCATATCCTGTAACTGGATGGAAGGTAGAGTAGAGTATCATAGTGTACAAAGCCTCATTTTGGGGAACTAGGAGTCCAAAAGGCACCAATAACATGTACTGTAAGTGTATAGGGAGTTAACAGTGCATTGGTGTATTATACTAAAATACACATGGGGCCTAAATAAAACTAACATTACTGCTGAAAACAGAAATATATAGCAAATATGGATGGATATTCTGTATATGGATGGATACTACAAATGCTACATTTTACAGTTGGAAATAGAAACTAAAGTCCACAACTGCATTTCTGCAATTGAAGCCACTTAACTATTCCATTTTAATTGTCTTTTAAGTTTGCTGTTATAGCTTACAAGCCCATTCTTTGTTTTCAGTAATACTAAATCTTAAGAAAATTAAGTAGATTTAATGCATTGGTTTATCGATGAATAACATTTGTGAATTGCCATCCTTACCTTTTAAATACTGTAGGCTGAAGTTCAGAATATTTTGATTTTTTTCTCCTGGTAAAAGAGCAGAGCTTTTAAAATGTCATTTTTATTAAAGTAAACTTTTTGCTGGAAGCAATTTTTGCTTCAATACTTCTGTCATGGATGATAAATCATCCCAAGAGAATAGAGTCTTCCTTTTGAGAATAGTTCAAACCATTCATATATCATGTTCAAAATTTAAATTACAGATTGCAGCTGACATGTGATCACTGACCGGAAATGTGAGACAATTAAATACTATGCTTGACTTTTGCTTAGTGTCTTGCATCTATTAAATAGAACATTAGAACAGATTCGAATACATCATAGAACAATAGAACAGCTGACCACTCAATTGGCTACATTATTGACGTGAAAACTTGTTGCTTCAGTAGAAGAAGTAGAAAAAAAAGTTTTAACATCTTTTGAGGAGCATAAAAATATAAATATAAATATTACAAGGTATTAAAACATAGTAAATTTTGGTCATCACAATAATTATTTGATTTCATTTTGCAACTATTAAACAATTTAAACATTTCTTTAAACATTTCAAGTTCAGAAAGGAAATGTAGGGCATTTTTTTAATGTAGCAAAATACTGGTAGTACTGTCCAGTATATGTTACCCCCCTTTTTATTTTCAAGCTTGAACATTAAATACTAAAACATGAAAATTGCAGAATTGTGTAATACTGTACATTACACAATGTATTGCCATTAATAAATCAGTGATATCTACTTTGCACCTGTTTACTTGCAGAAAACATTTGTGTGGTTAGAATAATACTGCTGACAGCCATTCAAAATGGAAGTGAGGTTTGTTATATCTGTTGGATATTTCCATTATTTCAAAGTATTATAAATGTACCAATTTTGATTCTGGCTCTTCAGAATCTGTAATCTGTGGCAATGGAGGACTTTGCTCTTTGTGCAATGCTATTAGCATCACTTATAACTTTTTTTGAAAATTTTAAGAAAGAAAAATGATCAAATCTTTGAATTTTTCTGTTATTTCATGTTTATTGTACTTGTTTAATGAGGGGTATGCGCATTACTATACTTAGATATCAACAATAATGCATATGATATGTCTGGACAGTAATATTTAAAGATACACAGTTATCACTACCAGCAAAAATACTGGCAAAATAACAGTATTTCACTGTATTTAACTACGATTACCCTGCACTCAGCTTTAAAATTAATTACAGGATTCCATTTTTTTTCATCTTCATTAGTAATATTTAATGCACAATTAAAACACATTTAACAAAACTTTCCTTGCTTTGTCCACAGTAGTACATAATAGTTCCTGCAGGTCTTTGGTTGTAATAGCCATAGGAAAACTGGAAGATAAAAAAAACGTTCCATCATTACATATAATCTAGTTTCAAAGCATTCTGGAGTAACATATAAAGAGTATATGAAATTAGTTATACAGAGGTTATACTGAATAGAACTGGTACAGTATTTTCCATGCTTGATATTACTTAAAGTACTTTAGAATCAGTACTAAATACTATATCTGACATTGTACATTGAAATTGTTTATTCACTCAGATTCAACTACTGAATATCATCAAATCAAGTGTTGCGTAATTGCACTAATTAAAAAACTTCATGAGCACACTGAATGGAAATCAGTTAATGTCTGTTGCCCAAACAGAGAACATGGATGTCTGAATCCTTGTAATATTTATATATTGCTTATTACTAACCAAAGTGCTATATTTTAACAAGGATGGTTAGCTACATAAAACACTACTACATTCTATCCACAGTAATTGCATGGCTTAGTTGAAAAAACAAGTCAGTCCATGTTGGGAGAGAATCACCTTTTCACATTTTGTTCACAAATTAGATTTCTCTGTCTCTCTGTCTTCTGGTTCTTTAACTGCAAATTCAGAATAATCAATGATAGGTTTCGACTCATGAAATCCTTCTTATGTTGGGTGTTTCACACTGTTCAGGGAATTGAAAAATGTAGCTCTGCAGTCTTGAAGGTCTTGCACATAACATTCTTTAAAAATATATTCAGAAACAAGAAAGGTGTTGACTTCCTGACACCAGACAGAAAATTGCTTGCTGCTTCATTAGTTAATGTCCGCATCTTTCTCTTCATGGTATAAATTACAAGTTGTCTCATAAGAGGCAATAATAATTATCTCAAATCATTAAAGTAGGAACATGCAGGGTGGCAATTTAATTACTATATTTTGATTCTGGCTATTTTACAACATCAGCAGTGAGGTAATTAGGAAAATTAAATGAATAAAGTTGGCATGCAAGTACTGTACCTGCAGACATTTACATATTTTGCATTAGCTGTCACTTAGTTAGGTGACTATGGAGAGCTGGTGACAGCACTTTATATTAAATCTAGCTTGTGTGTGATGGTTGCCCTAAGGAAAATGGAAGTAATTGACAACATAGCTTTATAATTGATGAAAAGTGGTAAAATATCTTTTGTAATAATGAATGTGAAAGATGTACAAAACAGCAACAAGTACTGTATATAGCCAGTTACATTTGAATGACTTTGCCTACAGTAGCTAGTGCAAGCTGCAAGTGTACTCTTGGTAAAACTTCAAACCTAAAATCTTAGGCCCATAGAAATTCACCATAATGAAAAGCCAATTCTGATAGGGAGATACTGTAAGTTCTAATGAAAAAAAAAACACAATAACAAGACTGTCAAGAAGCTCAGTCACTGAAGGTGGTTATTCTATGAGTGAGTGGAGTTCTACATGCCCAGATATTGCTAGCTTGAGTCTGGGCAGTGTTGTTATCCTGATATGACTGGAATTCCTCAAGTACTAACTCACAGCTGCCCAAGTGTCAGACATTGGGTTAGGTGAGCTGAGTTTAGCCAAACTAAAGCTAAAAGTGTGCCTGTATTTTTGAGTTTTTCACAGTGAGAATCAAACCACTTCTCTGTTGTTAGGTTTCTGTTTAGTGCTGTAAAAGTTTTCAGAGGATTACAGAATTCAAACACATACAGAAAATATAAAAATGGTCAATTCTATTTCCAGTGCTGGAAAATTAAATAAACTCATGTATGAGTCCTACCTTCTTGACAGAAAATATACAGTATCTCTTCAGATTCTCTTGGGATTTTGGGAGATTAATATGTTAGAAAATTTAAAGCAGCCAGCTTTTCTAGAATAAAATATATTGTGCTCTGACACAAATGTGCTTATTTTCATGCTTTCCAGTAACTGTTGAGTTTTAAAATATGAATTTTAAGATCTTTCCACATAATTATTTTCATATTACCATCAGCAAATATTTTTTGTGAAACACAAAACTGTCAGGATTCATATCCCCTGAATGCTTAACAAATATCTTTTAGAGCTGACAGAAATCACTATCATCCGGGGGAGTTTGATTTAGAATGATTATAACTACACAGGCTGTTCATCACATTTCATGTATTGTCTGTATGCTCCACAACAGTAAAAATAAAATGTATCATACATTAAATTCTGAATATTTAATCATTTACAGGACTTTAATTTTTTCTCATCACGACGAAGATGTAACTGGAGCAGTTCTTACAAGCCCTGACCACTTACCAAATGGGTTTAACTGTGAAAAGAGCATATTACGTGTTAAAAATGGTTCAGCGTGCCAAGAAAAGACATGCTGATGTGAGCCATTTCTATCACGCTGGCACTGCATTAACTGACATAATCACCTCAGCCCTCACTGGGACTGATTCATCTTAAACTTAAATCATAAACCATGTTTTAGGCATGTAGGTTATGTTTAATGTGATTGTTTCTTTACATTTCTATTTGTATTCAGTCAGTTCAATGTGCACTGGTATGAATAGTACCCGCAATACTGATAATGTGAAATACTACTGATTCCATCTTTCAGAAGGTATGTCTGTGTTAGTAGTGCATAATCAAATAGAGCTTCTGTCTAATTGTCTTTTCTTAGTTAAGATCACTTTTAATATATATATAATACCTCCTTTATTTTTAAATGGAGTTAAGGTCAAAACTTTTTGCATACAACAAAGTTATTATTTTTTTTATGATTCTTTAGAATTACAGAGCAGTTCCTGTGGAAATCCTGGAGTTCCACCTAAAGGTATCCTATATGGGACAAGATTCAATGTTGGTGACAAGATCAGGTACAGCTGTGTGACTGGATATGTACTCGATGGTCATCCCCAGTTAACCTGCATCACAAATGCAGGGAATAATGCTGTGTGGGACTTCCCTGTTCCAATCTGTCGAGGTAAGTAACAATTGTATCATTCTTAAAACAATTGAGCTTATTGTTAGCTCTCTGTTAGTTATGGCTATGGGGCAAATATATCTAGCATGTACTTTGTGTATGCATATACTGTATGTGTGTGGCATGAGCTGTGGGGTCCATATAACAGTAGCCTAGTTCTGTGCAATATTTCTTCTTAACACATTTGTTAGTGTTTCATAGCATTAATACATTCATATAAGTTTGTAAGCTTTAGAAGGTTAATGAATGCTAGAGGTCATGGGCCCCATATTACAGTATATCCACATAAATGCTTAAATTCCCATGCAATCTAATTGAAATGTAAGCACCTAATATTTTGAATATGGGGGGGGGTATGTTACTTGGAGAGTTTTACATAGATGTTTTCCAATACAATACTGCATTTTATGTGAAATGTTAATAATCAGTTATCTTGGTGGAAAGATTAGAAGAATCAGAGAGCTTCGGTCAGATAATGCTTGCAGGCCAAAAATATTTCATTCAGATTGCTTTTTAGAAAATCATAATTGATAGCAAAAAGTTGGGTAATAAAACCATTTCCAAATAAATGAACATCACAATACATCACAACAAATGAAGATCACAACATTTATTAATAATGTTTCTTGGACAGACTGTACCGTAAGGATTATGGTAGTGCCCTTATTGTAAACATAAGAAGATTTATTGTCCTGTGTTTTGGCCAATTATATTGTGCATTATCCATGACCATTTAAAAATAAGGCCTTCTTCCTGGGTAGTATTAGTTTTGAGAGGATGCATTTAATAGGGAAAAATGACAGCAACTTTATCATGTCTGCTTTTGTCTGGAACAAAGGCAACCTCAATTGCAACCTACACTCAATAGAAAAATTCTAATAGAATAAATACAGATTGTTATCCTGAGTGTACTACAGTTCAGAAGACAGGGAAAAAATAGTTTGCCAAGGAAGAATAAAGGAGTGGCCAAACACAATCACGACTGTACTGCACAGCTGTTTTACTAGCTGGAATGTGGTAGTGACTTCAGAAAGGTCGAATAGAATGCAATCCTGTCTGCTCACCATGCTGTGCCTTTGTTTAGTCTGTATCCTACACGCTGTTGCATTGTCCATGTATAATATGCTTATCAGACTAATGGCTGGACAGAGATTATATGAAGATTGTCAGAAATTGAAATATTGACATAAGACATTATATCAAGAATTGTACAAAAGCAAACATTACTTACATACAGGTAAGGTAAAAACAGGCAAAGGTTTATTCTATACCCAAAGAAGACTCCACAGCCAAAACGTTGTGTCTCTTTTCATTTCCTTCCAGCATGGAATAAACCTTCACCTGTTCTTTTGCAGCCCACGCATACTGACACAGCTACAGTACCTACTCAAACTTCATTATGTACATACTGTTTGCTTCTGTTCTATACAGTAGGTCATATATACAGTAATGGCATAGGCAATTAAATTATTGGGTTTAGAGTATAGATATAAATAGGGCACATTGTACAGTTTCAGAAAAAAAGCAATTTCCTGGAAAAAAATATAATGGGGGCATATTAAGAAGTAGAAATGTATACTGAAAGGTATTAAAATACAACAAAAGAGTATGATTGCATATTGATTACTTTACAGAATACAGTGATATTTAAATAATTCCAAAAAATAGGTGTTGCAAATACAATAGTCAACAATGTAATGCAAATCAGGAAAACGATAAAATCCATGGCTTTATTGAGCACCTGGTAAGTATGATAAAGCCAGTAATAATGTACCTGGCAAACAGTGAAGTGTTAACACCATTTGGTACCAATTAAAATTTGAGTGCTTGCATTCTGTAGGAGCTGGAGCCTGTTGATGTCCAGTAAGTAGAGCATTGCAGGAATCCAGATGGGAAGAGACAAAGGCATGACAGAAAATTTCAGCATCTGCAATAGAGAGATAGAGGTTCACCTGTGCACTGTTGTGGTTGTGGCGGGGAGAATATTTCACAGATGAAACTGTTAAGGAAAAGGCCAATATCCTGTGTTTCTTAATGTGCAGATTGAAGTGCAGGAGTTAAACTTCAGTATTAGTAGATTTAATAATAAAAACACACCTTTGATGTTAATGCAAGGCATACTAAATCTGACAAAAATATGGATTTTTAAAAATATATGCATCATATTTTAGATTAATATGCAGCCAATAAAAGCTTTATGAATGCTATATATAATAATGGGGCTATTAATTATTCATATAACAGTGCATGGTACTGTATGTTTTAACCTGTAGTTTCAAGGGGAATATTCATATTCATATTATGCTTTGTGGTTTTTGGGAAAGTATTAGTTCTGTTATGTAAGTGTTATTAATATACCAGTAATTATTTGGCAATATACTGTATATATTGTATGTCTGTAATCATCACCTCAAAATAACATGTTAAAAAAGTTCGAAAAATATATTAACCGTAGAATACAAACTTAATTTTTTCCCCTTTTAATTTAAAGTAGTGTGCAAGCTGTAACAGTTACTTTAGATGCTTTTTAAAATTTGTGATTTCTTAGTAAAAGATATACATAAAGGGTTGCCATTAAATTAACAAAAAAAAAACTTCTCAGCAGTGCCTGTAATGTCTTTGTAGAGTTGTAATGATATCTGTAAATCAGAAATTAAAGTAAAGAAAAGATTTTGCTTGCTTAACAGTCCCTTTAGTTTTTAACCAGCAGCAGGAACACTGTGGAATTTGCTTAATCATAAGTTAAGCAAAGCTGTGGTCAATAATTGGATAATAGATACCAATTAAGACACAAAGAAAATAAAATTGCTGTATGAAGTTGTTTGGTAGACCAGTAAGTGGCACTCTTGCATCAGACGTTGATATTTCAATCTGATTCCCATTTTTGGCTTTCCTGTGGGAAATGGCATCATCCAGATAAGATATTAAGATAAAGTCCTGATTACTTGTTACAGATCCAGATACAATGGTAGTCTCAGGAGAGCAGTGGCAAGCTTAGTGCCGTAGCTGAAATTACTATGAAGGCTTATTAAATCGGGCAAAATATGACATTTACTGACATCCTCCTCTTTTCTTACTTTACTCGTCTGTCAAGTAATTTGAGTTGAGGTAGTATTGTGTTCTGCCATGTGTGGATGTACATTATAATAAAGTATTCATAGTTGCAAATACTATTAAACCTGGCTAAACAGAGTATTGTGTGGGGGATAATGTTTCTGCAAAGTTATGAAGTACTAGAAGCAAGTTGGTTTGTCCTTTACAACTGTTGTGTAAAACTGCAGTACACAGATCAGACATTAGTATTACCTGAATAGTTAGAATTCCTTGTGCTCTCCTGACAAACCGCCTGTTTTCTCTCTTGATTTTTTTTTCACAACTCTTTCTTTATTTTTTCTTGTACATAAGGGGAATAAAGCTTGTTTAAGTTATTTAGTCACGGATAGGTACTAAGAAAATATGTACTTCATTTCAATATCTAAACTCCAGATTTACTTCTTAAGACATTTCGAGCTTGGCTAGAGTTTTTTGCTTTAATCCCTTTTAACAATATCTTCTGTTTTCCTTTTTGGAGGGCATGCATAATCTCCAGCATTCACAGTTTTATATTCAGGGAAAATATGTATTGTAAAGTATTCAAATTCAGGAAATGTCCTTCTGCATGTGCACATGCATATTCATATATATGCAGAACCTTTTGAAGATGTTGCAGGAATGTAAATTCCGTCTACAGTGCAATACATACTTTGAAATCTACAAGTATGTATTAAAACACAGAGGCTGTTGCTCCTGCTGTTAATGTGATGAGAGTTTAAATAACAAATGCATATCAGGGCTGCATGACATTTCTATAAATTGATTTTAAAAAAAAAACTTCAATTCAAATGGAAATGAAATGCTATTGTAACTGTCCTACTGTACTGTACCATGAAATTACAATTTTAAAAGTTGGAAGTAATCTGTCATGTGCAGCTGCATGGATGGTTTGAAAAAGCTATCCTTATAACTTTTGGGTTTTTTTTTTCTCAAAATGCTAGTGTGACATATTTCACAAAGTAAGCCAAATGAAAATCAGTAAAATAATGTTAAAAGCAATTTCATTTAATTATCATGATTATTCTTGTTGTTAGTAGTAGTAACTGTTATAGTATATTTTTTTAATAGATGAACTTTTACCTTTCAATGAATGTGGGTGCAGTAAAGAAAATATCGGAAATCTTTGCTTTTCACTCATATTCACTAGAGAAACTTTAAATAATGGTCTCCATTGTATTTAAGGAATTACACTTTTGTATAAAGGAACTAGAAGAGGCACTGTTCCTTTGGGAGATCAGCCAGATTAAAAAACAAAACAATTTGTATGTAAGAATGTCAGTTGGAAATCAAAAAATGGCTTTGCATCATCCAAAAGTAATAGGAGTGTCTGCAGTATTCATTATTATTATTATTATTATTATTATTATTATTATTATTATTATTATTATTATGTATTCATCCTGTGGGTAGTGGAAAGTCAGAGTCTACATACTCTGACTTTAGCATCATCGGATGCTAGTTTACAACAGACAGGATGGATGTGGGAGAAACTATAGTACCAGTGAAAATCCTTACAAACCCAGACAGAATATGCATTCTTTAAACAAACAGATGACTAAAGCCCTAATTGAACCAAGGACCCTTGGAACTGTGAGTCAGTAACATTAAGTGCCACATCACTGTGTACCCATCATCGTTATCATCGTCATTACTGTCTTAAAGTGACTAATTTATTATCTGTAATAAAAATAATATTTGTGTGTTTTCATTCGATTTTTGGCTATTTCCTTTCCATTGCTTCCTGAGTATGTCAGAGATGTAAACATTTCCTACAGTTATGAGTTAATAATGAATATTGCGTAATGAATATTCAGGACCTGATGGAACTCTTTTTCTGAGTGAGGTAAGCCCATATGGAATTCATTGCAGAACAGTGCTTTGTCAGCTTCTTTTGTGATTTGTGATTA